AAGAAGAAAAAGACAAACCGTTCCAAACAGCTTACGAAGTACCTTACCCTGTCAGGCTAATGTGATAATTTATGGTCATTTCAATGAAATCTCTAGACTTAAACGAACATTATGTTAGCGAGTAATAGTTGATTGTTTAACTGACCTTCTCAAATCCTGCAGATTAATAGAAACTTCGTAAGTCTAATTTTACCTGAAATAACAAAAGTGAGGGATATTTGTATCTGCTCGAATTGTCAAATTGCAGCTCTTTATAGAATTTTTAGCTTGGATTAGCTTGGAAACTGGAACTTAACTTTGGCAGGCAATGCTCTTTCATTTCGCTTTGTGCATCAGCTCCATTTTATGGCGAGTCGCTCTTTAAGGTCGTAACTTATAAAGGGAATAAATTCGTTGTCAAATATAAGATGTTGGCTTAGGGTTTGTATTGTTTCAATAAGTTTATAGAAGCATTTTGTGACGAAGTTGTTGAATTTCATAAATTTGTTTAGCTTTTACGCTATTTGCTCGTATTCGTAAAATAAAATGTTTAGTGTTTTAAGAACTGTCATATATAATATTCAGTTTCTCTGCACGTAAATTATCGTGAAGGATTATTTTTGGCGGCATTAGAACACAATATATATGAAGGAATGTTTCATAAACATTTTCTAATACAAGGAAAATAACCAATAAAACCTTGGAAATAATATCCTCGAATTTTAGAATATCTGGTTTTCTTCTCATGCTCGCATTTTTTACAAATGCAATTGTTAGAATTAGTGACAATTTCTTTTTTCTTATTTGCAGCTAAGATTGATGGAGTATGCTGCGGTTGTGATGGAAAGGTTCGATTAGGAAAATCTGATGCAAATGTAAGTCTTTTTTTTAATCAAGGAATTCGTGATTTGTTTGGAGTTATATTTCTGTTAAAATAGCTTTTTATGGTAAGTTCTGCATTAATGATTCTTGTCGAATTGAATATTTGTGAGATATTTTCAGATTCCAATTTTTCTATGATGATTAATTTTCTGTTTGGTTGCACGTTTTGTTGTTGATCTGGTAGCCAATGTTCTTTTATTCGAAGACTGTTAATACTGAGTGAGGTTTACGAGTATTATTAGGACTAATTTAGATGTCATATCTGGTTCTTATTCAGTCTTATCCTGATCTGCGCTACTTCATTAGGTATTAGTCGTACATGAATGGAGCTACCTCATTAATTTTAGCTAAAAGTTTATAAGAAATGAATCTGTAGTCAAGTCATTAGTAACTTCGGTGATCAAAACTTTTTAAAATTCTTTGAGTGTATTGGACTGTATTGGAAGGAAGTGAGATATACCGATTTGTTTCACTAGGAAAATTAGGATAAACACGAAAATTTTTTTATTTTAAAGTTTTTTTATTTATTTTCATTTTTTTCTCATATATCGATCTTTTTCTTCAAATCTTGACTGTTTCAGGATGCATCGTTTATGTTATGGTTCGGGAATTGCCGAAGAAATTCGTTTGGTGGTACGAATCAGCGGTGATCATCTGTCGTTGGAAGGATTACGACGAGCACTATACAATTTCTTGTTTGCTCGAGCTAACAACGGGAAATTTATACTGCAGTTGGGTCTGAATAAACACGGAAGACAGCCACGAGGTAGAAAAATTGAAGCACTTCTGGACCGATTTGGATTGGAGCGCGATGAAGGACCTGGAACAGGTGGACCATTTGCTCCGTATTCAGTCGCTAAACGTCTGAAAACATATACTGATGTGGTGGAACGGCTGATTGACATCGGTTTAGCATACCGGTGCTTCTGCTGTGGTGATACATGGAAAGAAGTGGATCCAGTGAAAAAAGAACCGGCAAAACTGCTTCCCTGTTCGAAGGAATGTTTCACGAAAACACGCAGTGAGTCCAGAAGTATGGCGTTGGATGGTCTGCCACATGTTGTTCGCTTAAGAATACCTAGTCGAGCATATCTGTATCAGGATGTAGTGCATGGCAAATTGTCTAAACATCTGCCTGCTATGGATCAACTGCTGCTGAGGCCAGATTTTATGCCAACATCTGTTTTCGCAGATACTGTTGATAATCATACCCTTTGTGCTAGTCATTTCGTTGCCTCCTCCTCTCGTGATTTCTTACAGCTTCCCATCTGTGACGCTTTGCAATGGTGCTTGCCAATATTTATAAATATTGGAAATCTACGACTTCGCAGTGGTTCACGATTATTAACGTATAATAATGCTAGAAGTTATGTTAGGACATACAGTTCAATTGACGAATTATCAATTTTAAACTTTTTATTAGCTGGTCGTGGCTTGCGGAAGATCTCCACTAGAAATGGCTGTTTGTACAGTATTGATGAAATGATTGCTCAATTTGATATTAGCACTATTACCAGTGATGCTCTATTGATTAATACATATAAATTAATGAAACCGGAACGACAGGAAGCACTTTTAGAACAACAACTTGAACTGGATGAAGAGGTACGTCTCTTCGATATGTTTGATAAGAATTTCTTTGAAGATATGAAGTTCTCGAATTCCATACCGAAAAGTTCGTAGTTCATACCAAAATCAGTCTCAGAATGATAATTCATGGTTACGTTAGATTGGTTATGAGAACATTCTCTAAAATTTGATTGTAGGAGGATAAAGATTTCCTTATTCTTTGATTTGGAAAAGTTTGTAGCTTTTGCGGATTAGTGGTGTAAAAGTTTCCAAATTTTCTCGAACTCTCAGGAATTTGAATTGATTGCGAGCTAATTGAATATTCGGCATTTTGACAATTGAATTTAAACAAGTCCTTTCAAATCTGTTTTGTTTGACTTGTCCGGTGTCCATCTATATGCTTTTTGTATTCCCTTTTTTTAAATATATCAAACTTTATTGTACACTTGCCAGCTGCTTGTTTTTTGTTTTTTAGTTTTTTAATATAGAAATGTTGAATAAATAAATATATGTTTTAAGAGTTGATTCTGAGAACATTTGGATGCGAAATTCCGCTAGTATTAGAATATGATGCTGCATGCATTGTTCTCTAAACGTTCTTTATCTACTTGACGTGTTTCTGAGTCGTCAGAAAATGCCTCGGAGAATTCCAACTTCTGAACGCCTTCAAGGCTTAATGGAAGAGTGCAATGGGAAATATTTTGGCGATTTCAATTCACAGCTGATGTAATAAGAACGAATGTAGGAAAAATATATCTAGAAGATAGTGTTCGTCAATACCACATCTGAATCTGTTACTCGTGTAACCATCAGTTGAGGCTCAGGTATACAAATAAAGGAATCTTGCTAGATGCAAATTGGGCAGTTTGACGTTAATTTATCACAGATTTCTTCCAGACTTTGTTTAAAGGGTAATGCGTGACGATAACAGTTATAGACTGCGAGAATTCCTGAAGAAAGTTAGGAGTTCGTGTGTGGATTACGACGATTACTGGATTGAAAAATTAGTGAAGGCCATACCAAAAGGTTACTCAGTTTTCCTCACTTACGAATTTATGTCCATTACCGTTTTAAAGATATTTCGAAAATATATATTTCAAAGATATACCATTTCAAAATATATTTTCAAAGATACCGTTTCAAAGAACGAGGTCATGTCAAGGTTATCATCAAATTCTTTTACATTTGCTATAAAATGAGAAGGAAATATCATTTGAAGAGTCGGCGGAAGGGAAAGAATGTTTTGAGACATTGCTGAAGTGAACTAATATTAATGGTGAGGGAACTTTCATAACAGATGAACAGATAATGTCATTGCATAAACTGAAAGCAAATTTTGCATAAATTGAAAGGAACTGAACTTTATACCGAGTGACTTCAATTCGAAATTCGAATTGGTCGATGTTCTACTGGCGGTAGGTCTTACGCAATTGCAAAATTTCAGGCGCTGAAACAAAGGATGCACTGATTGAGTCACTGAAATTTGGAGCAGACAGACTACCGAATCAAAGCAATTTCTATTTTATTCATCTCAGTTTAATCAAAGAGGTAAGCTTTGTAAAATGGTGAACGGAGTGAGGAAATATATATGCATGATTTTTATGTCGAATAACTTAAATCAGGATAGCAGAATGAAGTGAGATATTTCAAATTTAGCCAGGAACTTTGGAAAAAATTGTAAACCCATCGTAGATTTGTAGTTTTTTTATAAGTTTCAAGTTAAATTCGGACTTTTTCTTTTCACAATTAGGAAATGTTTTGGATCACTCATAACTTTTTAGATAGTATCAAACGGTGATAAGGATTTGTGGAACTGTGATTTTGTTAGAAATGTTGTCCGGCATTTTTCGAGCGATGTAACTTTTGATGGTTCGACAATAGTTATGAATGCTTTATTTATGCTTTACTGCGAGTTAGAAGAGAAAAATATTTCTTATGAAGATGAAGGTATTGTACCGTTTTTTTTGGGTTTAAGAATTAAGTTAGAATCGGCCAAGACCAAAAAATAACAGAGAAAAGCTGACATATCATTAAGTTGATTGTTGTGGATGTCTTCCAAATCCAATCTTTAAGTTAAGTATTTTCCTAGTCTCTCTTTTGTCAAATACTGATTGGATCAGAGTTAAAGTATAAGTAGACCTTTCTGGCTTGCAGAAAATTCGGTTGGCGAATCGTAAGCATGAGCGAATTTTGCGCCCCGATGTATATATTCATCATAGCTGCTGATAGTGACTACAATTAATAACAAAGACAGACATAATCAGCCCTTTTTAGGAAGTTCGTATACATCCCTATGTGTGCCATATCCTGTGCCTAAGCGGTACAGCTGGCACACTTTGCTGTGTGAATGTACACTCATAGTGACATTTCGTTATTGATCAGTGCTTCTATTCAAGTTTTTTTTTTTAGCAGTAGTCCAGAAAGCTCTTCACTTGTTGAATGACAATATAAATCCAATTCTGAATGTAACTCTATGCGATTATCTGGACAAAATATTTGGAAGGAAGTATAATATTTGTTGGGCTTCTGCCATTACTGAATTATTGAAGACGAGCAGTTCCGGATCACCGGATAAATACACAGGAAGTTCCGCATTACGCAAGAGGTGTTGATTCATGATTTTTGGATCTGACTTCACAATTTAAATCTACCATAATTTCAATTTGTTGTACTCCACAGAATTTCCAGAACATTAAGTATTATTAAGCATATACTACAAATTGACTCTTCCATATATTTGGTGATTTCCATCTAGGTCTTTTCAGATTGTCACAGCTTCTATTACATGATCCAAGTTTGATAACCGTGGAGCAGTCACGAGAAATTTTCATGTTGGCCAAAAATCTTGAAAACCGAACTGAACATATTAACATTTCTGAATGTGAAATTTTGTCGATGAATTTCCATTTCTGCAAACTTTTGGCCGAACTTGTGTGAGTGCAACAATGTGCTTTTGCTAAATAATTTTTCTCCTAAATTTGTTTTGAACTGAATAACTAATATAAGAATAATTTTGCAATTGATATGCCAATTCTCATAATTTAAGTCAATTTTATTTCTTCCATCAGTTGACTTTATCTCAACCTCTCCAGTACGGTTCTTCAAAGATTATTTTCGTATTTTTCTTCAAGCTTATTTATATCCATTTTTATTAAAATCAAGCTCTGTTCATATTCTAGTTAAATAGGAGATTTTGATTTTGAAAGAATGAATGACCTTTGATAGGACAAAATCGCATGAAAGGGTATTTCTTGTTTAATGACTTCTGATCGGACCAAATTTTTACAGACAGCAAAAGAAAGTGGATGAGGAGATATTTTTCGATGACGACTGGAATTGCGTTCATATCAGAAATGAGATTTTACTGCAGTTGATTGCTATGTGAACTTTTTTTTGATTTCCAGTGTAGTTATCAATTTTGTTCCAGTATCATTTTCAGATTTAATAGATAAGTGATTTTGTAGGTCTTCCATTGATTATGTCTTTCCTGTTGTTCTGTCTCAATTTGGTGATGAGATAAATAGCTCAGTAATCGCAGCACTTTCATCTAGCTATTTTGGTTTAAATTAGTTGATGAAAAGTAACCATAGTCAAGGTAGGAACAATTGGACATAATATATTTTATAATTATAATTCAACGGTTCGTTTTCTTTCCTTTTTTCATCCGAAATCTATGATGATTACACTTTGATTGCATTACTGTTGCTAGACATAATGATGGTGACAATTTAGGGGGCGTACAGAATTGATCAAAATTGTATGGGATACTCCAAACTTACTTTTATTGGATTTGGTGGAATTAGGACATTATTCCAATCAAGGTAATTCTTTTCCCCTGATTTTGTTTCATAAATTTCCATTTAATTTCTCCTGTCTATCTCTTACTCTTCTTCTTCTTCAGAAACCAGTTTTACGTTTTCAGTTTTTCTTCCTTACTTCCCGCCCGTCTGCAGTCTCTCTCGCCATAATTTAATTTTTCAGTTTTCTTCCACACAAACAAAAAAAGGGAGAAAAAACGATTATGTTTTTTCTAGTCGTCATTGTATCATATATATAAATTACTATTTGTTTTTATCATATTTAACAGACTATTTGGATCGAGGTTTGTCCATATTATGCGAAGAGCGTAATACATTATCAGCCAGCAAATTTATTACAAGCCTGAAAAATCCATCCATGGCTTCGCTCGATTCTTTATTTGATGCTTTAGAACTCCATAACATGGTAGGTATTTGATTACAGTTATAGGTTAGTTGCCAAATATGTAACAATAGTTTCGTATGTAAAGGGATGGAAAAAGTGAAGGTATAGCCTGCGAGATTGTCTCAATGCTATATGCGTCACGTAAAGTCACATGGCAGTTATATATAATTCAGGTATTATGTAATTTGCATGAAATTTGCTGTTTCCTATACTGATTCAACCTTATTTCGGAAAATTATCTTGGTGAATCTTGAAAAGCAAAATGGAAAAATAAAACTGATTTGAATGAAAAAAATTGCGCTTTATCATAAATTTAATTTTCAGATTAATCCAATGGTTTTAAATGCATTACTGCAGAAATCAGAGTCGTGGAATAGTAAAACTATTCCGATTTTAGCTTCAAAAATCGCCAGACAGCTTAACTTACCAAGATGGGAATGCAGAGATAATGCCTTAAGTCAGCTCACCGTGCTAGTTAAATATGGATATAATGGATCTGGTAAACTTTAAATGCATTGTATGTTCTGCGAAGCCATCAGATCATTGTATGATCTGTAGTTGCTGATGGCTTCGCTAGTCAAGCTGTAGTGATGAAGTAATATTTTTTGATGAATGTTGCAACATTATGTCTATCAAACTATGTTACAAAAGATAATCATTTTGACAGAAGTTAATTCATATTTGATATTCTTTGTTTTCTAGAGCTGATCCAGTGTATCACCGATATGGTCAAGAACGACGAACAGCCTTGTATCCGGAGTGAAGCTCTGGTTTTTTTAAATCAGATCGGAAATCGAGTGGATGTCAACAGTATAGCAGCATCTGTGCTTCTTGCAGACTCCGATCCTGCTCCAAGGTCCTTCTTCTCTTCTAAAATGTTTACAAATGAAATTATTTAGCCTTATTTTGAAAATTTATAACTGAAATGTGTTTGCCCGTTCACATTATATCAATTGTCGTTTGTTGATAATTTTTAGGATTGAGGCTGTTCAAATACTGCGTAATGGTTTACCGCAAACGGAGAAACTTTGTCTTGATCTTATACCAAAAATTTTATATGATGAAGATATCGCTTTGCACCGTATAGTTATAGATTTGTGTGCAGCCTTAATTATCAATGGTAAAAATCAAGCACTAAAGGATTTATTGGTGAAATTTCTTGAGGTTAGTCAGTTTTCGTTTTACAGTATCGTTATTGTTTCACAGTTAAAGGAATACCATCTATAAATAGCGGCTTGGCTCGTTAAAGATTGCAAATGATACAGTCATCTTCTAAACGAGTGTCATTTGATAGTGTCATGTGAAGATCATACTTTGATGGACATAGGCTGTGTTTCATTTCTAAAAATTTGCAACAGGATGAAGTAGATTGTTACGAAGAGTTGAATGAAATGCTGTACGGCAAAAATGAGGAATTATCATTACGATGTAAAGACAACGATGATTTGGAATATATATTTAATGTTTTGGCGAAGCAGGATGAGAAAGATAAGGATTGTTACGATTTATAAACTTCCAGTCTGAGTTAATTCTTGTTTGGCATTGAAGTGATATTAAATTGAAATGAAAAAAGATTGTTCCAGTGATTACGAAACACTTTTGACAGTGTAAGACTAATTTATTTTCTTAATTTCGGCTGCCGATCATTTTTTGCCTCCAAAAATGTAATTATATATATTTAAAGAAGAAAATACACTCAGACGTATAAGTTAATGCCATAGACTTCAAATTATGTGGATGAGGAATTTGGCTGGATGATATTGCTAATCTCTTAAGATTTATCTTTTCTTCAAACCGCAAATGTCCAATCTGATTTGAATTTGTCATATTTCTAAAGATATCACATTTCACTCAGTGATTGTACAAAGCTAACTATCCTTGTATGGTTTTTTTCTTTTGCCTCTTTGTTTTGTAATTTATGGCTTAGTATTTTTTTCCTAAATGCCCATTTCATGTTATATTTCATCATTTTATGTTTGCCGGAACACCTGCCATGTTTGAAATAAAATTCATAAAAAAATGAATTCCCTTCCACTCCATGAATTAATAATCTTTTAAATTGATCGACTTTTATTTTAATGGCAAGTTTACGAAAACATAATATCAAGAAGAGTGTGGATTTCCAAATCTTCTAAATTGAATTGGTTGTATCAGAAGTAGATTAGCTTAAGTACACAAGCAATCCTCAATTTGCATAACACATTCCGTGCACGAACTTCTTGTACTTCTACACTTTCTTTATACTTCTATACTTCTATACTTCTATGCCTTTATCTATACTTTCCCCTTTCTAGAAACTCTCCGAATCATTTGAAAGGATTAAAACTCAAAATAAAAATTGAAACGATTAAAGCTGCAGATATTTCAAAATAATTCATGTAAACATTTAGCTTTCCATTCCCTTTTTTCATTTATAAAGAAGTGTATTTTAAATTTATTGCAAAGAATTTTCAGTGAACTCTTCCAAAGAGGGTTTGACACATTTGGCGCATCTGTAATGGGATTCAACAGAACAACTAATTTATTCCTCTCATTAATTCTTTTTCACATATTTACAGAGAAGCATTCCTGTCACAGATCCTTTGACAATCCATCGCTTCTCGTCTTCCATTTATCCTATCACTGATAAAGAAGTTGATAGACAAACGGAACTAGAATGTTTTTAAGGAGACTAAAGAAGCTATTTTTATTATCATTTCCAATTCTCTCACTATCAGATCCCTTCTGTGCATAAATCTGACAGAAATGGGGAAGGTTTGCCGGAGAATTAGACCCGAGATATTTGCCAAAACTCTAGTAAAATGACTATATTTAATATGTGCCGGAATTCTTATCAGTGAAAGAATTATGTATCAGAACCTATTGTTTTCTCGAGGAATTTCTTGAGATCATTATCGTTGTTTTGATATTAGAATACCTTTACACCATTATCTTTAAGCAAATTGGATTATCAGCAAATCAATTTATCGAAAAATAATTAGTTTACTGCCATGCTTCATATAAGAATTAAATTAATTTAAACTGATCTTTTTTCCTTGAATCAGGGATCCACTCTAATCTGTCAACAATAATTCGATTTTAAAACTTCATAATTAACCTTGTCATCATTAAAGATTATTCCTTTTCTCTTGCTACAAAATACAGTAATCTTCCGACTAATACAGGTCAACCAATAAACGCATATTAGTGGTTTGGATCGCTCGGTTTTTTCGTCATTTGGCAGTATTCATTTGCTTTATGTTGGTGATAGATTGCATTTGACACAAATGTCAGCATGAATATAAGACCTATTAGAGAGGCTCCAGTTGCCCCTTATAAAATTATTCAATATTAAAAAATAATTTTATAGGAGAATTATTCCGTCAAATTTCTACAGTAGGATAAAGCAAAAAGGAAGCAGATGAAAATGGAAGTATTGAGGATACAAATGGGCAGTTTGAAAAGGTAGCAAAAGGTATAACCGGCTAATCTACTAATTTTTTCAGCGTAAATACAATGAAAGTTAACTCAGAAAATAGTTAACTACTAGCTGGACAATGCAAATATCTGATTAAATAGATTAGTGCAAAGTGAGTTAATTCTATGGACTAATGAAATGATCCCGCGATGAAAGGTTTTTGGATTTTCGAAGATGAGAGATGACTGGTAGTTCCTAATATACAATAATACAACATAAAACTTGAATTTATCACAACTATTGCTAATGTAGATTAATTTTTCCATTCATAACATGAAGAGAAAAAAAAAACTTTTCACTCTCGATATTTTAAATTTGATGATTATAGCTTTTGTACGCTTGCAGAGATAAAGTATGTCTGATACGCTTTTTGCTTTAAACCATAAATTACTTAAATTACATGATAGTATAAGTGAAATTAACATTTAACGATTGGTAAAAATGAAGGAACGAATTATTCCTTCGCTACATAATTTTAAAGGATTGAGCAAAATTCATCAAAATTTTTAGACAGACAAAAACAAAAGGAATTATAGCAATGTGAAATGTATTCAACTTATGGAATTCACTAAACAATTTGGAATGTAGTTAAACCTGTGGGATTTATTGAAGCAATATAGAATGTGTTAAATATTCTCTATACTCTTCCAGATCAAAATTCAATCGAATTTATTTCCTGAACTTAATTGATTTTTTGCTTCTTTGTATTGATCCTATTCACTGTAAAAAACATTCATGGATTATCATATTTGCTTTTTTAAAGAGGACGAATTTTTGCTAAGAAAATTTAATTAAAATATTTCTGGATGATATTCGGAAACAATCATAACAAATAAAAATTAAAGATTTCAAGAGAAATGTCCAGAAGGGCCATCCTTTATCATTAACAGTACTAAATAGACGACTACTTTGTTCCATGTTTTTCTTCGGTAAGACTGACTGAAACTGTTTTCCAAACTCAGTAGAGAAAAGTTGCATTTAAAAAGTGGAATTACTTTGAACAAACCCAAGAAATTATGCATAGATAAATGGAATCATCGGAATTCGTTGACATGACATTGTATTTGGTTCTGTGGATGGAAGAGAACGATTCGTTTGAAAATCATATCATTCTCGTTCTGCCACCGTACATTCTCAAACATTCCCTCAAAATATATTTGCTAGTGTTAGTAAAAATTAACACCAATATTATCCTAATTAAGTAATTATATTAAAAAACATAAGTACAAATCTTTTCGCTTCTTTTTTGCTGATTTATAATTCCAGAAGTTATTTTGCATTTCTTCGTAAAATCTCAAAATCGTTGCCGTCTTTTTTATTAAATAATTATGTTGAAAATTATAAGTTTCTTTTGCTTGGAGTATAAACAAGACTGAAATTTGCTCGTAGTAAAATTGAAATTATCCTTTACCACGTGAAGTAATAATTTCAAGTGTCTTTCAAGATGAAAAATTTTTGAAAACAACTTCGTTCTACAATTTTCAATCCTTCTTTTTAATTTAACATAAAAAACTTCAAGTGATAATTGTGAATGAGGTGAAAGAGTTTAGAGTAGGATGTGGTTGTAGGGAAAAGGAAAGAAAGGAGAGTGGAAACGGTATTCTGGAAAATCAATTAAAGTAACAGTGATACTATAGAGTAATTGTACAAGTAAATAATCGTTATTATTTCTTTCAGTTCTACTATAATTAGCTTATGATTAAACAGTAAAAATTATTAACCGAATGTTTGTTGGAGCAATTTCTATTCGATTTTCTTCTGTGAAAATTTCTTGGGCCTCATATATGCATCATGAAAGTATCGTATGAAAAGTACAGCAAATGAAGAGTAAATCGCAAAACCAAGTGCCAGATTATCCATTGATTGCTGGCAAATCTATGAACACTTTTATACTTTAAGTTTATACTCAAAAAAAAAAAGAAAAAGAAAGTTGACAAAGTTTTATTAAGTTGACAAAATTTCTTGCATGGTGATTACTGTATGCTTTATGCTTTCATAAAACGATGATCGCCGTACATTATTAGTTTCTCGAAAGTGGTTCATGATACTATTAATCACTAAACTGTTATATCGAATCTATTTAACTTAGCTCTCATACTTAGAAATATTCATTGGCTAACATATGGTAGTATTTCCTGTTTAATCTTCCATCTGAGGCCATTTTGCTCTTTTGCTCTTGTCACTCATACATCCTAGTAAAGATATTTCGGTCAGCTTTTATGACAATACGTTTTTCTCATTTCTATTTTCCATTATAATCTTGACTATCATTCAATATATTAATAATGGCCAACATTTTTTCCCCAAAGATCGTGAAAAAAAAACAATATTAATATTATTAGATTACTTCTCCTCTTCCTAATAAGTCTTGTGATTTGAAAGTATTAGGTTAATTTAGTCTATATTGAAAATATTAAGGCTGCTAAAGTAGTCGAAGTTTAATATTTCGCTTTCGGTAATTTTATCTGTATTCTTTGAAATGTAAATCTAAGAAAGATCATTTAATAGATTAGAATGGGGCAGAGGAATCAGAAGAGGAAGAGGACTTACTGCATTTTCCAGTTTTTGTTTGAGTACCACTACAGAAATGAGTACACCAATAAGCATTTGTGATGTTTGTAACACAGTGACACACATTGAAAGTAATTTCGGTGGTCGAATACCCAATGCTGTGACAGAATAATAAGCATACATTATAGAATGTACAAAGAAATTCATCATGATGAACCAACGGCCTGAAGCTGTTAATTCGATTGCTGAAATTAAGCTATCATTCATAATATCAGCTATAAGATGGAAGTTTGATGTGCACAAAAAATTTGCCCCAAAATGGGTGCTAATATTACCGTACAAAAAAAAACTTCAAAAAAAGCCAAGGATATGAGGATATTTTCCAGAAAAACAAAAAGATAGCTTTGTAATTTATAATTAAATTTCAAAAAAATTAAAAAAGAAAACCTTGCCTGCATTCCAGCTATAGATCAGAACTACAGCATGATGATACCAATGCAAGAATATTAATGGCTTCTTACGCATCAGCAAAAAAATCGTATCACCAAGCTCAACAACTTTCGATGTCGCAAATGCGAAAGCCCAAACAGCGGCTGGTTGAAAAGGTGAAATGGAATAGCAAACTGAATGTGTAAATGGACGTGTAGTTAAAGTATTGTAAAACTCTTCACCAAATCTGAAAAAAAAAAAGAAAAAAACTCAGAAATTATTTCAAACAAAAAAAGAAAAACAATTATTAATTTAAAATATCATTGTAATTAATCATTACCGTTTTATCTGTTTACTTATTTTACTACAAATTCTACTTTTATCACACTCCTTGCTTATTGATGAAAAACTTTCCAGCACTCCTAAAATGCATTTTGCCAACATCGTTCCTCATTAAATCGTTAATGATAGCAATTAATGAATTGTTAAAAGTTCATCAAAATTTTGTAGAAATATTAAAAAAAATTATAAAATATCCTATTTGATTGTAAAAAAAAAAAGAAAAAATGGTCAAATAAACTTCATTGCATTTATTTTTCTCTACTTTTTGTTTTTTTTTTCGAAAAGTATAGTTATTCCCCGTTTTGAAATGTTTCAAATGCAAAAATTTTATTTCTTTTCTCACCTGATCGTTGCAATAAGACTGAATATTGCAAGGATAATATTCCATAAACAGAGCGGTAGTCGAAGATTCCAAGCTTTCCGGGTTCGTTGATAACGTTGCAAAGCATGAATTAAACATATGTAAATAATGGCTATGTATAATGAGCTACTCCAATGCTGTAAATTTGCATAAATTGACACAAACTGTAAGGAATTGGAAAAAAATTGAAATTAAATATGACGAGATTTGTTTGTTTCTTTTTTGTCCTCAATAAACAAATAGCTTTATCAAAGTTCATTGCAATTTGAAACTGGAAGTAAATATTAGCTAAAGAACTTTCTCCATTTCTTTTGAGTTGGAATTCTGTTTGATTCTCTAATCTTTATCTCAACATCAACTTCATCATCTCTTTGCTTTATTCTAAATTTCAAACTTTTTGGGAAGTTTTTGTTGAATATTTATCGATTCTGAAGAGAGGAAGCAATAATACTTTGATGTATTTCAACTGAAATGAAATATTGAAATGACCTTTGCCCTCTTTCTCCTTCTTCCTCAAGATATCTTTCCGATTTGCAAAGTTATTATGAGATCGGGGAATTTATAAAACACAAAAATAGGAAATTCATAAAAGTATGAATATGAAAAACATCACATGTTATTATCATATCATGATTAAATGATATGCTCACATGAAGAGACCATTATGTGTTCCATCCTGAATTTTTCTTTTATCCAGAAAATGAAACATTAGCAAAGGAGCTTATAGTATATCATTAATTCATACTAATATTAACGATATTCTATGTATATAGCTAGTAATTAAATATGTTTGCTTATAGAATAAACAATTCATACAATATCCATTATTGTTAATTATAATGATGATAATAAAATAATGATAACATTGATGATGACGACAGATATGCTAACAGACAGTAGCAATGATAAGTACCAACTGATAATTATATTTTCTTTTCGAACAGACAATAATGGTACTTGTTTATCATTAATTTCACTTTCCTCCAGTTTAGTATGAAATAATATTAAAACATTTTTTTTTTTTCATGTTATACTGATATCAGTAAACTTAAACATATTAGACTTGAAATGAAGTATTTCAACATTGGCGTTAAATGGATCAGAAAAAAAAAAAGGATTTTAGCTGATGTCAAAAGGTTTTGTAAATGAACTGAGAGAGGAAGAGAGAGAGAGAGAGGAGGAAGAAAGAAGAGAGAGAGAGGAGG